TGGTCCATGTACAACTGCATACATACCACATTCATCTGTGGAGCCCATGTGGCAAACTCTCTCTCCCAGTTCCGCAGAGTCGAAAGAGGAGCGATTACCAAATGCGGAATGAGGTTCTCCTCAAAAAGTGAGGCTAAGAGGGCAATGCTTTGAATTGTTTTGCCTATAACAGGAAAAATCCTCACAACATTACATGAATGGAAAACAAAAGCCTCTCGAAACAGATTAAAAGATCTATATGACCACACGGGTGGGATAGTTGAAGAATTACCTAGCCCCATTTCATCAGCAAGGATGACATGTGTCTGCTTTGACCACGAGAACCGCAAAAAATTAAGTCCCTCAAGCTGGTACGGATGCAACAAGCCTTCAATAGCAGAAAGCAAATAAATCATAGCAACTATCAGTATCAAAGATGGGAAACATTGTACACTAGCAACAGGTAAAGTATACTATTTAAGGTGATTAAAATACCTTTGAGGAATTCAGGAGTATGATCAAACTGTTGAAAGTCTTTGGGATTTCTTTTATGGTCAACATCTTTAACTCTATGAGTTCTAGAATTTATATCCTTGAACCTTTGAATTTCAGTCTGGAAGGTTGAGATGTCTGATTCTGATTCCCAGTAACATTCATCATAAGAAAGTTCTTTATATTTTACAAGATATTGGTCCTCACCATCTTCTTCTCTATATCATAGAAGAAAACAATCAACTGTCATGAATCTTGATTCAGGAAACAACTAAAAGATGATATCCTTTTAAAAAGAAAAAGGAAGGCAAGCACGTCATTAATCATGTTTCATAAGGCCTCATAAGCTTAATAACCTTCTTCTTTATTATCTAGAACACATAACATAGACAAAAACGTCTAAATCTATTTTGATAAAACAGCAACTCTATCAGAGATACGCTTTTACTCGAGAATGGAACATGATGATAAGAAGTAAGAAGAAAGTTGGCAAATAAATAAACAAAGGAAATCTTCCATCACTAAACCTGGAGGCAAGAATCCTATCAACAGTGGTCCACTCAGGACGAATGGCAACAAAATCATCTTCGTTGTTATTGGCTGATTCCAATTGACGGTGAAAGTTGTTCACCCTGGTTTTTAAACGATGATTGGACTTATAAGCCTTGTGAAATTCTTTCTCAGGCACCCTGTGATTGGTATAGGGGAGAAGGAAAAAGAAAGAAATCATTAGTTACCATGTTCATGGACAAGAAGCACAAAAAGGTCACCGAAAACTTGATAATGAGCATGTTCAAAACATAAAACCCAAAAAAAAAAAAACATGTAGTAACTACCAAGAGCAGTGAAGGTATGATAATCCCTTCCACTTCACGAGATACTGTTTCACAAAGACTGGCTTTGGTGCCGCATCAGTGGAATCTTGTTCATTGGATATTGTAGGACGCGATTCAAAATCCAATATTTTATCAATCTCATTAAGAGGACTAACCTGCAAATGTAAAAAAAAAAAAAACAATTCTCAGTGACCTATGGCATCCTAAACACAATTACGGGGGGTAATTAAAATCTTACGCATTCAGGACATCTCCAATTTTCCACAGAAGCATCTTTAAGAGGTGGAACTAAGCATTTAGCATGATAAGCATACGTGCATGTATTGCAGCTTACAAGATTAGCACTTTCCCCACAAGCCTGGCATGCATTTTCTTTCTGCGTATTTCAGAGAAACAACAAAAAGGAATAAAACAGAGAGAAGACAGATCCATCTCCAAATACAATTTGAACACACTAAGAGGAGAGACAAACAAACCGCGTCAGTTCTGACAATAGCCTCAACTTGCTCAAGGGTCCGATCTTTTTTAGGAAGAATGTCATCATCATCAGAATCATCTAAGTTATAAACTGGTTTCCTGTCTGATCTTATACGAAGCCTCTCAACCAAGCTACTCATATTTTTTCTCTCTGCACGCAAACATGTTTCTCATCAATAAGCTCAAAACTGGATAAATGAACACACATAACTGAGGAATTAGGGTTTCTACTGGATTCAACATTCCATAATTGAGTTCTGCTACCTAAAACATCAAAGTAAATTTCGATTCCCAATCTAAAACTATACAATTATATCTCGAATAAGCTAAGGATAGTTTGTACAATAGAAGGAGATCGACTTTGAGATCCACAGAAGTCCAAAGAGGAAGATTAAAGAAGCTTAAAA